ATGAGTTGGCTGGGTCCAGTTCCTGCAGGCTTCTTGGAGGAAGCAGCCTCAAACCAGAGATTTGAAGATTGGAACAGCAGAGAGGGCTGTATAGAGTGAAAGAGTAGATTTGGGGCTGGATCATAGAGTTTGGGGTGGGGAATCCGAGCTCCGAGATGGAGGGACTTGGAGCTGGGCTGGGACAGTCTTCAGTGGACAGGCAAGCCCTGAGTGAGACCCACTGGCAGCTTGGGTGTGTGTGCTGTCGGGAGCAAATGAGGAAGCAGACGGATACAGGACGGATGGATGAGATGTCATGGGACCCGGGCGTGAGTGAACTACAGATGTTGTGTCAACTGCCTAATCTAATGAAGTTACAAAGAAGCATCTTTTAAAATCTTTCTGGAGAAGATAGAATTTTGAGCTAGAAGGTGAGAGAAGGTCATGTTTGTTGAGCACCTACCATGTGCCAGCCATGAGGTATATATTGCCTTGTATCCTCCCTCATGTCCTCTCATTCTCTCCCTCTCTCTCTCTCTTTTTTTTTTTTTTTTTTTTCAGATGAAGGAACTGAGGCTCAGAGAGGTAGAGGGGCTTGTCCAGGTCACACAGCTAGGATTTGAACCTAGGCCTGAAAGCAAAGCCTTAGATGTTTGTGCTGAACCAGGCCTGGAAGGTTAGAAAGTAGGTCAGGGCCCTGCTCATAAAGGTGGGCAAGATCTTTTAGATCATTCCTTGCCTTTCCCAGAAGCCAGACCCAGGGGCTCAGGCCAGGGCCACAAGCCGTTTCCTACAGATGAGGCTCTGATAACTGGGTCTGGGGTTAATTAATACATCGCTCCCCCAATTAAAAGCAGAAAGGAAGAAGATACTGAATTCAATCAAGCCCCTTTCTCCTCCTGCAGAATCTTAATTTGTGGATACCAGTTTTAATTGTCTTCCCAGTGAGCCCAGCCCTACTCGGGCCCTGGGGCTGGAGAACACAATTGCATCCTTCTCAAAAATCTATAATTATACCAGCTTCCCCAGGGACTGGCTGTGAGGAGTTACCTGGCAGGGAGGGAGGGAGGGCTCAGGGACACAGGAAGAAGTCAAAGAGGAGAGATCGATTTTATGTCCCAGACTCAGGAAGGAGGCTGACATGGGGATTAGGGGTCTGGGTGGGGGCCTGACATAGAGATTGAGGAATGAGGTGGGGTTGGGGGGTGGGGAAGAGGTGCTGCAGGAGCAAGGTCTAGAAGTTCCCGGCTCCCACTCTTGAGTCCTCTAGCACCGGATGCAAATGTAACTACCTACTTACTCTGTGGCCTTGGGCAAGTTCTTTAACCTCTCTGAGCCTCAGCTTTCCCATCTGAAAAATGGGTTCCATAATGATCCCATGTACTCCACAGCATGACGGTGGGAGCATGAGAAAATGTATGTAAAGGGCTTGGCTTAGTACCTGGTGCAATGCAAGTACTCGATAGTTCTTAGAGTTTATTGCACCGTCATCATCAAAATTAGGATGGATCACTTCCCAGTTTCTGGTGCGGATGCGGTGTCTTCACTCACCAAGTTAGGAGAGGGAGCGAGAACATCTTGCCAATTAGAGCTGCTACTTCCGGTGGAAGTAGGAGGAACTGAGCTCCCTGTCTCTCGAGGTATACAAGTGGGATGCAGAAGTGCAGAGCATGGTGGCTGAACTTTACCTGCTAATTCAGACCAGATTCTGATGGGGACTGACGGACCCTGGGTTTTAGTCGTAACTGCTGGTTAAACGTAGGTTCAAAACCCAGCTCTGTGTGAATCTTGGATGAGTCATGTCATCTTTCTGAGCCTCATTTTTTCTCATCTGTCAAATGGGAGTGAGTGGATTAGAGAGTATTAGAGATAGTGTGTGCATAGTGCTAGAGATGTGGTAGATGCTTAATTAACAATGTGGACTTAAAAAAAAAGGAAACGAGGCTTTCTGGATTTCCCTCCTCTCTGCCTTGGCTCATAGCACTCCCTTCCTCCTTGCCTCTGCCAGCCATCCTTCCGGGCCTGGCTGACATACCACCCCTTCCTCCCCCAAGTAGAAGTGACTCCTCCCTTCCCAATGCCCAGGGCACTGCCCTTAGAATATATATGACTTTCTCCCTCAGATTGTCTGAGCTTGTGGGGCTCTCAGACCATGAGTTCTAATCCCCATTGTACAGAGGAGCAAACTGAGGCTCAGAGAAGAGGAGAGATTCTCCCAAGGTCACACAGCAAGTCTGTTGGCAGAAACAGGTTCAGTCCTCCATCTCTGGCTCCCAGTCATATGCTTTCAGTGCTTACCTGCCTACATGGCTTCTCCCTGAGTGGTAGTGGTGGGGGGTCTTTGGGGCGGTGCCTTCATGTTGCTGCCTGTAAACAGGGAGACTCAGATATGCCATCAAATGCCCAGAGCCTCAGTTTTCCCACTTGTCCTGTAGACACACTGCCTCCTTCCCTACTGAGGTTGGAGCCAATGGGATCTTGAGCCCTCTCCCCAACCTAGGCAGCTCCTGGCAGGGTCAGCCAGAGGGGATCAGAGAGACCCTGGGTCCAGAGCCCACTTTTGAAGAGATGGCTAGAGGCCACACCCACAGCCAACTCACCTGGCTCCACGAGTTCTTAGAGCTAGACTCTCTCCATCTTCTCACCTAAAGCCCCTCCCTACTCCTGGCTCAGGACTACCTGCCCCACTAGGCAACACATCTTCTGGGAAGCCTTCCCTGATTGCTTTAAGCTAAGTAAAATGTCTCCTCTGTGCCTCCTCAGGCCTTTGCACTCAGAATAAAACAGACTCCCCATCCTGCCCCAAAAGACCCTATAAGATTGACTATTTTTTACTGTACTTTTAAAAGGAAGCTCTACAACCAAAAAGAGTTTGAATTCTTTAGAAAGAGCATAGCCTTGGGAGCCAAACAAGCCTGGGTTCAAATCCAGATTCTGCCGCATAGCCTTGGAAGGGTCACTTCCCAGCGCTGGGCTTTGGCTGCCTCTTTTGAGCAACGAGGACCTGGGAAAGGGAGGGGAGCTGAGCCTGCAGCTGAGCCTTCACCTGCTGGGATAACCCCCATACGGGCCGCTGAGCACTGGGGAGTGTGGCTAGTCTAAACTGAGGTGTGTCATAATCATGTAAAAATACACCTGAATTTCCAAGACTTGGCACCAAAAAGAACATAAAATATCTCAGTAATAATTTTCATTATTTGAAATAATTTTTGGATATCTTGGGTTAATAAAATATGTTATTAAAACTCATTTCTCCTGTTAAAAAAAATCTTTTTTAAAAACTTTTTAAAATGTGGCTACTAGAAACTTGAAAATTCTACGTGCCTCACATGTGTGGCTGGCATTCTGTTTCTGTTGGATGATGCCATCCAATGACCCTTAGTGGGGTTTGCAGGGAGAGGTGACTCTGTGCTGGGGTCCCTCACAAGGCTGTTTGGGGTTGAGAGGGCCTGGCCAAGCTGACTCCTGGCTACTGAGCAGCCCCGGGCCATACACTGCCCTCTCTGAGCCTTGTTTTCTGCATTAGCAAAAAGAGCTGGTGGACCAGGGCCAGAGTTTTCAGTTAGTTTGGGGCAGCCTGTGGGCAGGGGAAGGCTGAGTGAGGGTGGATGGAGGCCCTGTTCCTCCCCAGGTCACCTTGATAGAGCCCCCACTCAAAGAAGCCCATCTCTGCCCTTCCTTCCACTCATTTTTCTGCCTCGCTGGGTGGAGCGCCTTGCGGGCTGCAGTAGCAAGGTGGGGCTGGGATGGCGGTACGGACAGACGCAACATTCCTGGGTGACCTGCACAGCTGGGCATTTTTCCAAGGCAAGATAATCTCTCCTGAGAAGAGGGAAGAATTCTAATTACATCTCAGGACAATATTTGTTTGGAGAGATGAGAGACAGAACATATGGTGGAGAGGGACAGTGGGCCGTACAAAGTGGGGGTTTGTTTTCTCCTTTGCCTGGCAGAGTGGAAGGGGTGGCGGGTGGGGTGGGGCTCCTCCTGGGTCAGGAGAACCGCCTGTCCTGGGATTTGGTGGGGACCTGGGCCCTGCAGGGGACAAGAGGCGGCTGTGGCTTCCATTGCACCTTGGGGCCCTGAGAGGGTGGAGGATGTCCCACCTGTTGGGCACATGCGGAGCACCTACATACTAAGTGCCGGGAGCTGTGTAGCTGTGGGGAGCTCTGATCCCTGTTCCCATGGAGCTTCGATGGTCGGTGCCTGCAGTGAACAGATACGTGCCCGTGAATGCAGCGGGTGGGAGGCAGGGGTGGGGGAAACCTGCACAGGTTCATGGGGTCAAGGATGGCTTCTCTGAGGATCCAACTATGAGCTGAGCTCTGAGTGACTTGCAGGGCAAAGGGGGGCCAAGGGAACAGCATCCAGGCATTGGGAACAGTCAGAGCAAGAGTGAGGTGGAAGGAGACATGTTCACAGGACAGCGAGGCGGGTGGGATCTGATCCCTCCGCCAACCTTGGGGCCTTTCTCCTCGGAGCAGTGGGGAGCCAGGGGAAAGTTCTGAGCTGGGGTGGCCTGGTCTCATTTGGTTTTGCAAAGAAAGCACTGATCACTGTGCACAGGGGCTGGGAATAGCCCAGGAGAAAACCAGGATGGAAGCAATTGGAGAAATCTGGAAGAATTAACAGGAATGGCACCTTCCTTTCTGGCCTTCTGGCCTCTTTGCTCACATTTTGCAACCCAGCCCTCATCCGATCCCTCACTCCCCTGCAGAGTCTCCCACAGCTCCCACAGGCTCCAGGATAGGGGCCCAGCCTGAGCGGGGGGCATTGAGGGCCTTGGGCCTACTCCTTCCTTCCTGTGTCTTGCCAGCTGCTGCCGCCTACCCCTCTGCCCAGCCTGGCAGAGCTTCTCCAGGTGCCCCACCTGAAACCAGGGCATTCCCACCTGCAGGCCTGGCTACTCCCGCTCTGTCCACCTCCTCCACCCACCAGCCCTGTCCCTGCTGGCCCTGCTGGCCCTGCCATTTCCTGGACCCTGGCTATTCCTCCCCGCTCCCTCTTGTTTCTTTGCACAGCCCTGTTCACAGAGACGCCCCACGACATGACGGCGCGGACAGGCGAGGATGTGGAGATGGCCTGCTCCTTCCGCGGCAGCGGCTCCCCCTCCTACTCCCTGGAGATCCAGTGGTGGTACGTGCGGAGCCACAGGGACTGGACCGACAAGCAGGCGTGGGCCTCGAACCAGGTACCCGCCCTGGGGAGACTCTGAGTTGGGCTGGGAGATTCCTGGCCCCTTGGATAGGGGTGTGTCTCTGCCCCTCATCTCTTCTGAGGGGTACGGGCTCCAGCTATGTTTGTCCTCTGCGGCACCCAGCTGTCTCCTTTCCTTCTCCCTGAAAAAGAGGCTTGTTTTCAGGGCAGGAGGCAGAGCTAGGTTGAGCACTTGGGATGGACACAATAAGAAGGCCTCTCCAAGGAGTGCAGAGTTCTCCCTTTCAGGTACAGGTGGGGAAGCTGGGGCCAGAGAGACAGAAGCTGGTTCCAGGCTGTGGGGCAAGATGAATCTCCTGACTCACTTTTTATCACTTCTCCAAGCTACAGACATGGGACAGCCAAGTTCCGTCATGAACATGCACGCATACTCTTCCACGCATGCGCAGCACACGCCTGCAACCCAGTCACTGCACACGAATTTGCCACTACACATAGACACACTCATGTGCGCACCACTGGAACAGATGCCGTCGGTGTCCCTGCCCACATGCTAGAGCACACTCTGTCCCCTGCCACCAGCTCCACTGACAACTGCCAACCCCTGTGACTCTGCCCAAGGGTTTTCTGTGGACAACAGAGCCTGCCGGCCAGCAAGACAGGCTGGAGGAGCGCTCCACCAGTAACTGGCAGGAGTTGGAGGATAAAGTCCCCAGCCCCCGTGCCCCTCAGCTGGGATGAGGGCTCGATAACACATCCATTGTGGACTTCCTCCCCTTTTTTGTTTCCATCACTCACTCTGCTACTGATGTTTCCTGGGATCGCCTCCCAGATATATTACTTGCACTTGAACCTTTGTCTCAAGGTGTGCTTCCCGGGAAACCCAAACTGAGACGTTTTCATTCTCGCACTCGTGTATACACAAACAGTATGCAAACGCACACATATGTGCCGACCCATTTATATATGAACACATTATATTTACACACCTGTATGTACACAAACAGTATGCAAACGCACCCATTTATATATGAACACATTATATTTACACACCTTCGTACACACAGGTGGGCATGCTCACACGTTCTTGCATGTGCAGGAAATAGCCTCTAACATGTTCTGCGTTGCTCCCAGGAGTGTCAGCAGCTCAACGCACAGGCTTAGAGGACTCCAGTGGTCAGGGAAATCCCTTAGGCAGAGTTGCTGGCCTTTGCCAGTTAGATGCCTCTGGGGTCAGCTTGCAGGGAACAGCACGTGGGCCGGACTCCGTCAGTATCTGCTGCAAACACTCATGTGTGTGACACACCTGAAAATACAACATATTCACAGATAGACACAAGTGTAGAGACAGACAGTCCTACATTCATACCAAGCAGACTCACATCTTTGCCCGTCTACCCATACCCCCCTCATATATCTCCAAATGCCCGGTCGTCTAAATGCAGAGCACACACACCATCTGTTTTATAGGCACCTCCTTTATCTTCTCTTGCTCCGACTCACCCCCCACCTCCTGAGAGGACACAGGGCAAAGGGACCCCCAAATCCAGACCCTGGGACCCCCAGAGTGTCACCTGCCGTAGCTAGAATCTTAGCTGTTGTCCACGTTCCCACCCAGTGGTGCTAATGCCTTGTCTCTGCTTTCTTCACCCCT